GAAAAGTTCCAAACCGGAGACTGTAGCTGATTCAACGTGTGAATCAGAGTACATAGTAGCAAGCGAAGCATTGAAGGAGGCAATATGGCTAAAGAACTTCATCGGAGACCTTGGAGTTGTATCGATTGTTAAGGAGCCTATAGAGATTTTCTGTGACAACGAGGGTGCGGTCGCCTTAACCAAGGAATCAAGGGATCATGGTAGATATAGGAACATCTATAGATAATATCACTTTATAAGACATTGAGTAGAAGAGGGACTCCTCGTAGTGAAGAGGGTATTGTCAGAGGATATCCCAGCAGATCCCCTTACGAAGGGACTGAGTAGAGTTAAGCATTTGCAGCATGCTAATGGCATTGGCCTAAGAGACAATATTAGTTTTAGTGATTAGATAGGAAGTTAGAAACTTGTAATAAATAAATGTAATTGACATTTGATGATTAAATAATAAGGGTTTTTATTCATAAGCAAAGCACACTGTCTTCTATCAATTGTTTATTTTATGTTTCACTTTTGCATGTTTTGACTTCCAAAATAATATGATTATTCGAACTATCCACAGTCAATCATACTTTGTAAGTAAGCTATGAGGTTAGACTGTCATGAATTGGTTTGTAGATTGTCTAAGGTGGTTAGAAATAGCAAAGGTTTGCTAGAACGTTCATGAGTGCTCTTGGAATAAGATTTGAGTATTGGATTAAACCCACACTCACATAAATCACTTCATGTAATTTATCTTGAGTGATTATGAGACGATAATATCATATAGTCTTCAAAACAAGATATATGATTTGTTGATTACGAGTTGGTTGTGCATTGATAGTACGAAAACACAACAGTAACTTAATGTTATAAAACGTGTTGTTGTGTACAATTTAACAAGTAATTAGTACAAGCATATAAGTCGAAGTTTATCTGTTCCTTTTATCCTTAGAGGATTAAAAGCAATATCTTGGGCCCCTCGATGATTTTGTTTTAACTTATGTGCCAGGCCCGGTCAGGACTCGATTGATATGTTCAATTAAGTTCTATGTCAAACAAATCGGAAATCGGGAAACAAACTTTTGGACAATAAGTATGACCTTATTCCATGTCTTTGTCCACACGATATCTTGGAGAACAGAGCATTATATGATCCATTATATAAAAGACAATGACTTTTGAGAGTTACGATTGCTAATTGGATTTTGAAGTTACATTGTAAGTTATAGTTATTAGACTTATCCAAGTGGGAGACTATTGGATTAGGTGTCTAAGCCCATAACCATAATTGGTATGTACTTGACCCGATAGTAGCATGGTTATTTTGGGTTGCCTTCACCAGAGCAATTTGGTAGGATGGATATTCGAGAAAGAGGTTATTTGTGATTTATTAATATCTTATATGAATAATATATTAATTGAGAAATCATATTATTTAATGAATATTGATCAATAATTAATTTGGAATTAATTTAGTGATCAAAAGAAACTGATTAAATTCACAGGGACTAATTAGGTAAATCAGTAATACTTATAATTTGGGCTAATGATCCATGTTGATTAAGGGATGGGCTAAATATATGTGAGAGTTCATGAAGAGTTAGTCCAAAGGGCCTATCATATGGATCAATGGAATACCTAAAGGTTTAAGTAAATTTGGGGTTTATGTACGAAACACTAAGGATTCCACACTATAAATTGAACTCCTAGCTTCCCAAAATCGTCCAATCTCTTCCAAGGTGAAACCCTGGCCGATTTTGGTGCTTCCTAACCTCTTTCTTATAAGCCTCCTCTTACTTTTGGTGTTTGTGACTCATTTGAGGTAGCACACTTGAGGTACTAAGTTCTTAGAAAATCAAGTTATACAAGTTACAACAAAGAGGTATTCATCTCACTTGTTTTATGTTGTAAATATTTATATTGTATGATAGTTAGGGTTCATGCATTGGAAAAATGAAAATTGCATGTATAACTTGAGAAAACTTAGATCTAAGGCATTGTGGTTGTATGTGCACCATAGGATTGTTATATTGCTCAAAACCCATCAGTCAACTCCTAGTCCAAGGTCAAATTCATGGTCAATGTCAACGCTCTGAGTTGACCTAACTCGTCGAGTTATCCCTGTAACTCATCAAGTCCATCCCAAAACCAGAGTCGCGATGTTGCGATCCAACTCGTCGAGTTCCTCTTCTTTTCAACAGAATTGGGTTAACCTTAACCCAACTCGTCGAGTTCCCTTGTGGACTCGTCGAGTTCTTCAGTCTGTCCACTCTCTTAATGCATTAAGCCCTTTTTCTCGAATCCAAAGGTTCCAAACTTCAGATCCCTAACCATAGAGTCGTCTAGGAGGGTAAAGTTTCCAACTTTACCCCCAATGATCATCTAATAAGCTTTATACCCAAAACCTAGTTACTTTGAGGAAGGTCTTGACCCATTAATCCCTTAAACTCTCACTCCATCGTCCCAAAACACATATCTGAGGTCCTAAGGTGGTTTAATCATGTAAAGTTTCCAACTTTACGTCCATGCATGCTTGTAACACTCTCTAAGGTCTATTTTTGGCTTCATAAGGGACATACTTTATGAATGGGATATGGAGGCTATTAAAATTTGCAACTTTAATCCTCTAGAGGTCATGTAGGGGCTAGATCTACATCCTCAACCCTTGGAAACCTCTCTTCTTTGGATACGCAAGACAAGGTCCCCAAAACCAAGCCAAAACTTCAAGAAATGAGATCTACTAAACTACATGTCAAGGTTGTGGCTTTATACCTTCAAAATGCAGCCCTTGATGTAGAGTTTCTGGATCCAAGATCACTCCTCCAAGATTGCTACTTCTCTCTTCAAAAATTCCTTCAAGAATCACTCTCAAGCTCTCAAATATAGGGTGTAATGCCCGAATATTAGGGTTTTCATCACCAGCATCAACTCGTTGAGTTGGACCTCCCCAACTCGTCGAGTTGGTGTTCCAAAAATACACGTGACAAATTTCCAACACGTCGAGTTCTTACGTTTGAACTCGACGAGTTAGACTTATAAATGAAGTTTTTCCTTCCATAATTGACATTCTAGATTTCAAGTGTTACACTCCATCCGCATTCTTTTTCAATTCAAGTCCAAAAATTACCAAACAACCCCTAGCATCCATAAATCTATGCATAACTAGTTCAACAACTACACCTTAATCCCTGATTTCCAGAATTTATAACATTTAACTCGTTATGCTAATACTCTAATAATGTATTGCAGATTAGGGCCAATATAAAATATTAAAATATAAAATATAAATATATTTAAAAATATCAAAATACATCTCGGGGTCTTCGGGTTTATTATTTATTTATTTAATTTTATTAAACAGAATGTTCCAAAGATGACAGTCCAATGTTGTGCCACACAACAATTTTTAAGTTAGAAATATTTTAAAAATCAAACAGCTGCGAAAGGCAAAGAGGTCATTTGTTTGTTTTAAAAAAATATTTATGATCACTTCGCATGCGCCCTATATAATACACTCAATACTTGACCTTCCACATCTGTTTGTTTATTTTTTAAAATACTTTTGGCTTAAA